CCCGAGCGCGGCCGCTCGCCGCCGGGCGCGCGGAGCGGCAGGATGCGTCCCGCTCGCGGAGAGTCCAGCCCGGTTCCGGAGGCGGTGACAGGTCTGCGTGGCGGGCTTCTGGTTTTCTTGCCGCCCCCCTCAAATCCACCTCGAGAAAACACACGTTGTAGCTGTAGATAACTCTGCGTAGGACACTGAGGCAAAAGGGCAGGGAGAGAGACAGACAACGCCACCTTTGACAACAGAAAGCTGTTATCGCATCCTAAGTCCTGGTCCGCAAATCTGTCTGCCCTCTCGGCCCACCTCATTCCACCTCCGCCTCCCCGAATAGATATTCTGATCTATGTAACTGGGAAGGATATGAAAAAGAAGTCAGGTGGCTTAGAGCATGAGATTTTAAGCCTCCGTGAAGTTTGAAGTTTGAGGTAGGTATTTCATGGAACTTCGCGCAAGTGTGTGATGGAGGCAGCTCGTGTGCCTGCGTGTGTGGTGTGCAGTTCTCTCTCTCTCCCTCTCTCTCTCTGTCGTCTCTGTCTCTCTGTCTCGCTCTCTCTGTCTCTCGCTCTCCCAAGTGCGTGTACGCTCTGAGGGTTCAGATGGGACGCCTGGGTGGCAGTGCCCTTTTTGCCCACAAGAGGGCAACATCCTGAGGGCTTTGTGCGTGCCGTGTGTCTCGTTATCGCTGCAAGCTTGCTTGGATTTAGACAAAGTTATACTGAAACTTTCGAAGTGATATCACATCTTATTTCATGGTACTAAAAAGAGGACATAAAAAGGTAGCAAAAAGAAAGAAGCGAAGAAAGAAGAGACGGAAAAGAGCCAGCCTACTCCGGGAGAGTCCTAGTCACACCGAGACTAGGGGGAGGGCTGTTTTAATTGTGGGTTTGGCCGACTGACGACTGGAGTGCCCTCCTCGGCTGTCTTAGTTGTAGCCGGAGGTCATGTAAATCGACCTTAAAAGAATGCATAAGCCATAAATTAAAATAAACCCTCACCCAGGGGCTGATCCATAAGTAGACAATATCCAACCTGGACAAAACGGGCTTCATTTCCGAGTCGATCTAAACCGCATCCCCCCAAAGAATAGAGACTAAATGCAAAGTAAGTTTCCTAGCAAATATTTTGTTTTCTTGAAAAGTGTTGGGTTGATTCGCCGTGGGACTGCGATGCGGCAGTGCTCGGAGTGCTGCAGTGTCAGCCAGACTGGGGTGCGGGAGGTCGGGAGGACCCGCTGGGCTTCTGGGCTTCTTAGCGCTGCTCCCCTCGCACCCCCCATTTGGGTTTGGAAACTTTGGTTATTTGTGGGGTTGACGCTGGCGGAGGGCGGGCAGGAGTGGAGGACGTCCGTTGCTCTCGCAGTCGGGGTGAAGTTTACTCGGAGGAGTTGATAAAGAAAACCCGGGTCGCTAGAAAAGTCTCCCCGCGCTCCCAGCGCTCACCCCGCGCCCACCTCTGCCCCGCCGCAACTTTCCGGGGACCGTGCGCAAGCTGCCTCCAGTTCCCCTCCGCTTACCGCCCCCGCCCCGTTACTGGACATTACTTTTTATGATCTTTTCAGGAATAAACAAACCGTCCTCCGAAACAATCCGGAGCCCAAGCGCTAGTACGTGGTCCTCTTAGCCCTGGACGCTGGGGCTGTGTCGCCTGGCCCCATTGGGGCGTGGGTAAGGGGCCGTCCCGTCCCGTCCCGCGCGGGTTCGGCCTCCCCGGCCGCCTGCGAGGCGCACAGCCGTGCGCACGTTTCTCCCCCGCCCCGTGTCCCTGCAGCCGGGCCTGCGCCCTCCGTCCTTCTCGGCTCCCTGCCCGGGCCCCGCTGCCCGCTGCCTTCTCTGCAGCCTGGGCCGAGGTCTGCTGCTCCCGGCTCGGCCCAGCGCCGGGGGCGGTGCTGCCACTCGTCCCGGGCCGGGCGCGAGCCCCGCCGCTCCCGGGGGAGCTGCTTTCTGGTTTCTCCCTTAAAGGGCCGGGCGGAGGAGGAAAGGGCTGGTGCAGAGGCTGCTGGGGTTGTGCTCGGGCACCAGGAGGAGCGGCCCAGGGCTGCGGAGGACAGATTAGCTCTGTGCGGGGCAGTTTCCCTGGCGCTTCGCGGAGCTTTGAGATAGAATTGGTCTGTACGGAGCAGATAAAAGGTGGTTGTTGGCGGCGTGTTTTAAGTTTTATTTAAGCTGTTTTACGCTGACCAAGTTTGTAAACGCTTGTTTTGTATGAATTGCCAGATATTGAATGCCTCTCCTATTTGAGGACTAAAAATAAGTCTTCGGCTGGACTGGCAGGGCTGGGCTGTTGGCGAGATGGTTGTCCCGGGCTGCTTCTCTCTGTGTGTGACCTCCTATGAGGGCCGCGCCTGAAGTTCCAGCCTGGAGATGGCCCGAAGCCGTCGCAGCGGCAAACTGGGCTGGACTCTGGACCTCCTGCTGCACTGTCAGTGAGGCTCTCGGGTGACGTCCCTGTCCCAGGCGCTTTTCTCTTGCTCGCACTTCTGGGGCTGGGCTTTTGGCCCCGGAGAGACGGCCCAGGAGCGACCCAGGGGAGCAGGGACGAGAGAGTGCCCACTTGCCCCTCCCGCCAGGGTCTCCTCTCCCCTGCCCTTTATGGTCACATGCCCAGATTTCCCTCAGGTCCGGAGAAAAACAGACACAGCCCCGCCCAGTATATTTCCAGGAGGTGGGTTTGGTGAATAAAAAGGTCAAGTGGTCGGGGCCAAGGCTCGCGGGTGTGGAGGGGGACGCAACAGGGCTGACACCTGGCGGGAGCCGCCCAGCCTGTCCCCCCATGCTGGCCGGCCTGCCTGCCAGTGGCTGGCCTTCCTAGGCCACATTCTTGTGCTAAGTGCGAGAGGCGGTGGGAAAAGCAATCCTGAACCGGCCAAGAGCCGGCGAAGCTGATCCCGCGATGGCATTTTGTTTTGAACAGTTGCTGGGGTTGACGTTTCCTCATAAGGTAAGGTGTCACTGGACAGTCGGCTGTCCAAATGCCACATGTATAATTAGCCTGCGCACTCAGCACCTCGTCCCCGAGGCCCATAGGCACGGGCTTGGCCGACCTGATACACTCAGCTGCCTTCTGGGCTGTTACAGGATTCCCCGGAGGAAGAGCAGAACTGGCCAGGACAGCCTCGGGAGGCCCTGGCCGCAAAGACTTTGACAGTGTAGCTTTACCTTTCATTTCTCTTTTTCGCTATTTTATCTCTTCTTATTTTTCTATCTGAGGCGGAACTGTTGGTTAGAGAGGGTACCTGACATCAGTGTTAGAGAGTGCGGCTTTAGGATGGGTAGCGGAGTAGCAGAGAAAATCTGGCAGTATATTTATGCTCCACACTCAGTCCTGGGCAGGCTGTGAGTCCTTCTGTTTGCACTAACCTACTAGGACCAGCCGGGGATGGTATTGTATATCCTGGTTTGGGCAGGTTATTTCAAGACTTCTGGTTTGGACTGTTCACCTGTCTTAGTGCTTCCTCCAGTCCCCAGTTCCAGAGGTCCCTCAGGAAGTTAGTGTCTGTGTCTAGATTGTAGCTTCTGGTTCCCCTTTAGGCCTAGCCACTTGGGGCTGCTAGTGATCCTGTGGGGAAGCTTGGAAAGCACTTTTCTCCGTGTATCTCATTCTAGGTCAGCCTGGGGTGCTTTGGAGCAGTGCCTTCTCTGTCTTCCCAGTCTGGAGCTTGAGCTTCCTGCATACCTTTTCAAATCCCAGCCTTAGGTCAGCTTCAGCCTACACTCTATGGCAGGGGCCAGATTTCTGCAGCCTTGAGCATGACCTTCCCTCTGTCACTCTGTGAAGTCACCATGGAATTCCACACTCAGCACTAGGCACTTGCATCAGTCTCCCTCCTCCCCTTGTTTCTAGGCCACTCAGCTGTACCTGATACTTACTAGAAGATTCTCTTCATTTCAAAACAAACAAACATCCCAAATCTTCTACCAGTTCAGTGGGACAAGGTTAGCTTTTCTATGCCAGTAAGACTATTTCTTTCTTAATGAGAGGTAGGGACATGGTTTTATTAAGTTTCATTTGCTTTTTATTGAACCCACACAATGTTTTCTTACAGCAGGAGAAAAGTTATGACTGAATGTTTTCAACATTATCAGGCAATAAATGCATTATCAATGTACTTTTGAGAGCATCTTTTCTGAGTGCCTGTGTGTGAGCACATGGGCAAGCAAAATGACATGTAGATATTTTTCTCCTACATTTAAAAAAAACCCTCATAAATCAAGAGACACAGTAGCTCTTATTCTTAAAAAGCAGGCAACTAAAAAAAACTTTCAGGCTTTCAAAGCAAGTGTATACCAGACTTCATAGAGCTCGTGTATGACCAACGACAAGTAACCAGGCTGCAGACAGCAAGGGTAGGGCACTAATTCCTTAGGCCACTGACATCCTCTGATGTTTTCTCATGTGCCAACCGCACCTCTTTCCCTCTTGCTCTTCCATATTCCTTCAGTTACAGTGGCAAGACTGAGTAGCTTTTTGCTTATTATTTATCCCATTTACGTTGCTTTTATTTGTTGTTTTATAAGTGATGAAAAGGAACTTTCTCTTGGTATACTTGTATTTAAAAAAATGCAAGCAAAATAATTTTTTTTTATTATGGAGTATGATACATATTCCTGTACTAATATGTTGTGTAACCACAACTCTTACTATATTATAAAACAATGTAAAATATTATTAATATAGCAGTATCAAGCACCTATATCTTAAGCTGGTTCTATAAGGATTCAATAACTGAATTCCTAGAGGAAATGAGCTTCATGGGAATATTATATTCTTTTGGGCAGTTTTCTCATCAATAGCAGAAAACAGCTGATGTTTTTCTTTTTACAGGAAAAGCATATATTCACAATATATTAACATTTCTTGCAAAATTTCCTTCTATAAGGCTTTAAAGTACATTACTTTAAGCACATAAATGCCAAGTTGTAGTGGCATTCCTGAGACTTTAGGAATTATTGGGCTATTGGTCATTGATGAAATTGCTACACATATACATCTCATATTGAAGAAATCAGTAATGTTTTAAATAATTCTTTTTACTAATTCTGTTGGACTGATTGTATAATAGATACTGGAATAAGCAAATTTTCTTTTTAAAAATACCTAATATACGTTACCTATATCTTTTACTTTTAATATTTCCTATATTTCTCAGTTTTGTTATTTATCTACCTTTCCATGCTTGAAAAAATTCTCTTCATAGTGAGGAAATACACACACACACACACACACACACATAAATATAAATTTTCCCCTACTGTTTATAAACAGCATTCTATGAAAGTGTGGTACAGCACAACTAAAATTTTGGTTTATCTGAGAGGTATTTGT